TAGATGCACTTCGCAACATGTGGTACTCATCGTTCGTCAACGTCTGTGAGGGGGCAACAACGGATGGATTCACCGGCTATGAATACCCATCGGGTCAAAGTTCTCCATGTGACAAACCGTGATGCAGTTGTCGTAGATATCACGCACCACCTCATACTCCACTTCCTTCCATCCAGCCACACTCTCCTCCAACAGAACCTGCGGCGAAACAGCAAGTGCCACACCCACCTTATGACGTAATTCTTCTTCATTGTAAACAATGCCGCTACCTTGACCGCCAAGGCAGTATGCTGCGCGCAACATTAACGGAAATCCAATGACCTTTGACGCTCCTACCGCCTCCTCTATCGATGTCACAGCTAATGACTTCGCTACGTGTTCGTTAATCTGTAAGAGTGCATTACGGAACAAATCTCGATCCTCCGTTACGGTAATGGTAGAAATAGGCGTACCAAGAACCTGCACATTGTATTTCTTGAGAATACCAAGTCGATCCATTTCCAGACCACAGTTTAACGCCGTCTGACCTCCCCATGCCAACATGATTCCATCTGGTCTCTCCTTTTCAATGACGCGTTCCACAGCTTCTGCGGTGACGGGTACAAAATAAATTTGATCCGCCATTTCATCGTCTGTTTGTACCGTCGCAATGTTAGGATTAACAAGCACGGTCTCTATACCTTCTTCACTCAACGCTTTAAGGCATTGCGAGCCACTGTAGTCAAACTCGCCAGCCTGTGCAATGACAATGCCACCTGCCCCCAATACAAGAACTTTCCGGGGTTATATTTAGAGGCCTCCTTCACTTTAGATTCTTTTACATGTGCAATAAATTCACCAAATAGATACTCCGTATCCTGCGGACCACAACGTCCTTCCGGATGAAACTGTACAGAGAAAAACGGCTTTGTACGATGACGTAATCCCTCATTGCTATCATCATTAGGGTTGTAAAAACACTCCTCCCACTCATCCTGAGAAACGGATTTAAAATCCACAGCAAAGCCATGATTTTGTGTCGTAATAAAGACATGTCCATCGGAACGGCACGTCGAAGGTTGATTCTGTCCACGATGGCCGTACTTCATCTTGTATGTGGAACCTCCAGCAGCAAGTGCTAAAATCTGATTTCCCATACATATACCAAAGATCGGTTTATCTTGCGTAATAGCCCATCGAACATGTTCAATGGTTTTTGTGCACATCTGTGGATTACCTGGACCGTTGGAAATAAAAAGGCCATCGTATGTTTCCTTTGTGATGTCCCAGTCATGTGGTACCACAATGAGTGTCACATCATACTTTAGCAAACACCGCAATGAGTTAAGCTTCACACCCATATCAATGACAAGAATGACAAGTGTTCCATGTCCATATGTAGAGCGTGTCTTTGTGCTGACTTCAGCTACTAAATGACGCACATTAGGATCGAAAAAAGGTACATCTTTATCATTGACAACAACTTTACCAAGAGCTGTACCCATCTCACGTAACTTTAATACGATATGGCGTGTATCCACCATCATGATGCCTGGAATATTATTTCGTCGCAGCCACTGTCCAAGAGTCTCCCACATCTGCCAATGTGCCGGCTCATCGCAGTACTCTGAAACAACCACTGCACTCACATGTATTTTTCCGCCCATGCTCTCAAAATATTTAGTCAAGCCAAAATGATCCGTCTCAATTGGAGGGATGCCGTAATTTCCGATCATTGGCGATGTCAAGACAAGAATCTGCCCCTGATAGGACGGGTCAGTCATTGCCTCCGGGTACCCAACCATGCCAGTGGCAAAAACAACCTCACCCGCCACACTCTCCTCGCAACCAAAAGAGTAGCCCTCAAAACATTCACCACCGTGCAGGACAAGCGACGCCTTCACTTTTTCCCCAAACATTGTTTTCCTTTTTTTACGTTTTGTGTTGTTGTTGTTTTTTCCTTCTCTGTTTGTTTGTTTGTCTTGTTTTTTGGTTGATGTTGTTGGCTTAAATATGTATATATATATATATATTGCCTTGTCTTGATTTGCCAGTTTCCTGTTGATGCTAGTGCTATTTATTTATTAATTCTTCTGCTCTCTCCTTCTCTCTTTTCTTTCTTTATTCTGCAGAACTCTTCAAATTTTGGTGGCAGGCGTGTGTGTGTTTTTGTGTGGGTGCGTGGGTGAGTGATGGAGACCCCCTCCCGTCCTCCTTCCCCCCTTTTTTTTCTTTTTTCCTTTCGGCCGCCTCTCTCTCTCTCTCTTCGCTGCGGAGGACACAAGCAAAAATAAGAAGAAAAGAAAAGGAATAATAAAAAAAGACACGTGTAAACTCTCCCACACGCCCATCCGTAAATCTCCACCGCAGCAGGCGAGGAGGAGGCGGGAGGAAAAGCCTTCATAACGTCCACACACGCAGACACTCGAAGAAACAGGCGGACTGAAGGAGGGGGGGGGGGGGGGGGGGGGGGGGGGGG